TCCGTTTACTGAGGTTTTAAAAGACGTGTCTATGCTATTGAGACTAAGAGACTATGCTATTGATACAATGTTCACTACACTATTGTTCAATACCTGGGTCAAAATAGTTTTTGATAGTATTAGTTGTCTTTAAAATACTTAAAATATGCTTGATTGAAATTGCCTGATGGGACCAATTGAACAAGAGCACCTAATTTATTTGAAAGAAAACAAATACTATTTTGAGCCAGGTGTTACAGAAGCCATTTTAATGGATTGTAAAGGTGCTAAAGCCTAAATTGAGAGAGAAGACACAGTTTGGGAGGAGAATGAGAGGTGTGAGAGGTGTTGTGCCCTGAGAACTGAATTCCATAGATGGTGGCTACTGGAGATGTCATCTATGGGCTCAGTTCTTCTGGCAAGGCACTGCTTATCAGCATAACAAGACATCACCTATACTTTTATATGAGGAATATGGATTATCTGGCTTTCCATGGCAAACTTGTGGTTTCAAATGAAATAATTATTGTGTCCTTCTGTAGATTACATGTTGTCAGCATGTTACAATTCAGCATTGTGTGTTGTAATAAACTGCTTAAGTCTGTAATTGGGGTATGTATTTTGTATGTATACATATCATGTAAATGAATAAACTTTTCCTATTCAGAAAATACACTTTATATCTCATTAATGTTTACAATCTCATCATAATTACTATTTATTTACACTGTGGCGAGGATTACAAATGACAGTCAGACATCCATGTTTTGTCAAATCATCTGTGACACATATTTGTAGAGAAACAGGATGTGTGCTCAAGCACATAGATATTACTGGAAATGGTGCGGTACAGGGAACATTCTAAAGTGAAGTAATAGCATGCAGCATACCCAACCCACACACCCTGGCCACAACTATGTCTTATCTCTCTACTGCGAGAGGTGACTCAGACCCAAACGCCTGTTCCATAGAACCTGGAGTCGACAGAGAGAAGAGCAGGGTCCATAAACATCAATGACTGGTAGGACAGACATAGAAACAGAATGACTAGTCATACTAGTCAGAGTTACTAGTTATTGAATTGAATGGGAATGTCCATTCTAGTAATTATATTTCTATGTTGATGGACAAAGTGATGAGATACAAGAGATTGGACCGTGTTTAATACAATATGACACAGGGTTACAGTATGAGAGATGAGAAATTACTAATATGATAGACAAGGGTTAGAACGACAGCACGTTATGTACGAGAGATAAGGTTTAACTGCATGACAGGGGTTTTTCAGTGAGAGATAAGAGGCAAATGACAGGAGTTTATAACAAGAGTGGCAAAGTAAACTGTAAAATGAGTAATCCCCTCGTTCCTTAAGCAAACTTGCTAATGCTAATGCTAATGTTACAGGAACCTTGATACTGTAAATCATAGTAGTACACACCACCTAATGAAAACACTAGACCAGAATGACTCCAGCATTGTAGTAGCCTGAGGTAGCTCCATATAATGAGATGAAGAATATTAACAAATAAGTAGCATTTGACTGCTTTGTATTAAACTTATCTGGAATTTGGATGTGGAATATTTTTTTTTGCAATAACATTACTACTATTAACATTTACTAATATACAACGACTACTATATAACAGTTTTCATCCGTTTTTTCCATAAGCATTTAACAAAATTATCACAAATTGTGTAAATACATTTTCATATGTCAACAAAGTTGGCATTTATTAGCCAAACCTCCATTACAATCATCTCACCTTTCTCCTCTTCTTCATCTTCTCCACTACCTCCCTCTCGCTATCCCACTCAGGACTCTCCTGCTGCCTCACTATCCTCCTCTGCACTCTGTACTCCTGTTCCCCAACATGGGTGTCCCCTCGCACCACGTACTCCCCTCCCTGGTAGGTGATACTAACATCCGTCCGGGGGTAGGTACCGTACACTCTCCGCAGGTCCTTCCTCACAAACTCAGGCAGCTCCCTGCGGGGGCCATACACCCTCTCCAGCCTGCCCCAGCGAAGCTCTCCTCTCAGGGTGAAGCCCTCGGGCCAGGTCCCTCCCTGGTTCTGGAACCTCTGGGGCCTGGTTGGAGTAGGGGCCACAGGAGCCACTGGAGCAGCAAGGTTGGCATAAAGGCACTGGTGGTAGGTCCAGTAAGGGTTAGACATAAGTCTATGGTTACACCAGGGCAGGGGTGAAGGTTGATGATAGTGGTGGAACTCCCTAGGATCAGGTCCCTGGGATCCACTAGTGCTCCTGGAGATCAGGTTTAAGGGGAATTGATACTGGGTGGGGATAGATGGAAGGTAGGGACTGTAGTTGTTGCGCCACTGCATCGGGGTGATGGCGGTGGGATACATCAATCTGTAAAAGTGGTGTGTAGGTACAGGTCGAGGTGATGTGTATGTGTAAAAGTAGTGAGAGTTCATGTTCTAAGAGAAAGGTGGTGTGGAGAGAATGGTACATGGTCCATGGTTTGGGTTGTCTTCGTCCATACAGGGATCTCACTCTGCTGAAATAAACAATAAACACAAAACAAAGAGGTGAAAAGTACTCACATTAAAGGTATATACAAAGTACTTTCATAATCCAACAATGTAGCTAGCTCCCATTTCCAATAAAACTAAACTATCTGAAAAAAGAAACACAGAAAGTCTAAAAAGTAGTGAAAAGAGTGTTGACAGCTTGCACAAGAAGATAAAGGTAAATCAACTATGTGTTCCTCACCTGAAGGAATATGAAGTGATTAACTCGCATAGCCATTGCCATTTTGTCAGAAAATGAAATGAACTTCAATTAAATACAGAAAGTGGCTGCCATACCTTAGTCAGAAGCCTGTCACCTGACTCTTTGTTACAGTATCTAGGCAACAGGTAACATCAGTTATGTACATAGATCCTGATAAGATGGCAACTATATCTTATCTTAATTAACTATGCTATGCTCAATGGATAAATAGTACGTCGGTGTCGTTGGCAAGTCATAAAAGTTAAACACCAAATTGCATTTTAGGACAGCCTACCATTGACAGTGGCACCTTTGAGTTCCCTTGCTGTTCCTCCTATACTACTAGAGAACTCAAACAGTAGTGGGCACTATAGGCCTAGCAAAATGTGTGTTTGCATAGAGCCCCACAGTGGATGTGTCATAATACCCATAAAACCTAGCGGTCAAACTCAGAAATGGTTCCAATCGTCTTTCCACCATTCATTTTTCACATAGTGAATTTTACAAACACTTCAAATTAAGTATGTGTTTGGCGTAGGCTTACCTTGGCGTAACGTTATTAAGTTAAGTTTGAGCATCTTAGCAATACCATGTGTACTATACAGCTTCTACTAGGATAGAGACACTTAATCAATTATATAATCATTAACCAGATTATTCCAGATACCAGACTTAGATGAGTGATAACTCAGTTCTATAATGTTGTTATTGATGTGAATGAATCTAAAAATCTATTGACATTCAGAATTGACTTTGTTTAGACATCCAGCCTGTATTGTAGTTTCATGACCAGAGACAAATCTTCTATAGCTGTAATGTCATCAATCAAATTAAACTTTATTTATATAGCACATATCTTACAACAAATGAATTTCAAGGTGTTCAAAGTCATGCATTGAAAGGCATGTGGCACTTAACATCCTTCCTCTTGGCAGGTCTCTATAGGTGACCAGGGGATTCTCTCTACCACATGCAAATGCCTCTGTGGAGCTCATAAGTGTAGCCATGCAGCCTATTTTGGCAGCTCACAATGTCGGCCGTACGTATGTGGAATGCGAGTGGAGGAAGCCAGCCGTGGCCAACCAGGTGCAGTCAGTGGAGGACCTGTACCCGGCCGAAGACTACAACCCTCTGTCCCAAGAGCCCACAGAGGAGGATCTTCAGTAGCTAAGGAACCGTCTCCGGGGCAGGTTCAGTGGAATGGCATGTCTCTTTGAACCTGAGCCAGAACAATCGCTACCCTCCCTGTTATCCCTGTCTGTACTGGACATTGTTAAAAAACAAGGGCCCCTGGGGCATGCAGGCATCCTGGCTAGCATGGTGCTGTCGCTCTCATACTGTGGTACTCAATTGACACATTTTATATCTCAGAATGTCATTATGTTTGTGACAAGCATTGATTGCAGTCAGAGGTCAGGTGGGTTGCTTGCAAGTTGCCAGCAGCATACCACACTGCATCCCACTGCTGGCATGCCCGTGAAGCTGCAGGGTCGGTCCTGGTCAGTCCCTGGATGGGAGACCAGATGCTGTTGGAAGTGGTGTTGGAGGGCTAGTACGGGCCACGCTTCCCTCTGGTCTTAGGAAATCTTAATGCCCCAGGGCAGTGAAGGGCACATTGCCCTGCGTAGGCTGCTGTCTTTTAGATGGGACGTTAAAACGGGTGTCCTGACTCTCTGTGGTCACTAAAGAGCACATGGCACTTATCGTAAAAAGAGTAGAGCTGTTAACCCTGGGGTCCTGGCTAAATTACCAATTTGGCCCTCATGCCATCATGGCCACCCATTGATCTCCAGCTTCCAATTGGCTCATTCATCCCATCCCTTCTCCCACCTGTAACTCTTCCCCAGGTCATTGCTGTAAAAGAGAATACTTATTTTCTCAGTCAATTTACCTGGTAAAATAAGGGTACATTGGAAATAACTCTGAATTGGAAACAAATATCATATGTGGCATAGGTGAGAAATTAACTGCAACTGAATACACACACACAATATGATCAATTTCAATATGATCAAAAACTGGGGAAAGTTTTTAAATCCATCAATCTTGTTCTTGCGGAAGGTTCTAACGTAGTGATTGACAAAAAGATTAGCCAACCACAACTCTGTATTTGGAACCACCTATCAAAATCTGGTACTTTGATTGGATTGAGCAAACGTCACTCAAACCGTTCCTCCCTTCCTTTCCACAGCCCCAACCAATGAGGAAAAGTTTTCATAGGTGGAGCGAGCAACAGGTCAGGCTGTAAAGTAGGGAAAGCAGTCGGGGGGCGACAGTTTAATTTGTTCTCGTAAACAATATCAACAAAAACAAAAAAATACAGGGACTGTTTCATCAACCAAGAGTAAACCAAGGGATTCTCCCTTATCTTCGCGAAGAAAGTAATTTCTGTCGCCCTTTGAGGTATTCCCACCTTTCTGAAGAAGCAGTGGGGGATGGACGAAGTGCGGCCTAACAACGGACCAGCAGCAGCCCCCGGGCTGGCGTCACTCTTCCCCCCGGGTCTGCAGGCAATCTACGGGGAATGCAGGCGCCTCTACCCCGACCAGGCCAACCCCTTACAAGTTACAGCCATTGTCAAATACTGGTGAGTAGATCGCTAACGAGGTCTTATTCTGGATACATTTCTTTGCAACAAAGTCGGATTCCGCGAAAGCTAACTTGAATTGCAATGTTGTTAGTTACGTTAGCTAACAGAGGATATGGTGAAAACGCTACAGCTAGTTACCTAGCTTGCTAGCCAGAGAAAACATATGATTTGATGTGATTGCTCTTTATTGTTGACCAAATTACCAGTGAGGAATGGGGCTGAAGAAATGTAACGTTAACCACTCTAAACGCCTACAGATTTAGTAAACAAACACTTTGTCTACAAACAATGGAGTGTAAATCACCTTATATTTGGGGTTATGAGTGTATTAGAAAGGTGTCCTAAGCTTATAAGACATTGATAAATTAAAGAATCAATGGTTATATAATTATTTAAAATGGCAGTAAATAGTGCAGATTGCGCTTTTAACAGTAGTGTGTCTCTACAGGTTAGGAGGTCCTGATCCATTGGACTACATCAGTATGTACCGTAACGTGGGCTGTGCAGCGCAGGACGTACAGGAACACTGGCACTACATCAGCTTCGGACTCAGTGACCTGTATGGAGACAACAGAGTACATGAGTAAGTACAGTACTTCAGGTTAGAGCTCCAACAGACCAAGTTGCCCAGGTTACTAACAACAGACACACATGGTTTGTGCAGCTGTTGTTCACTCACTTTCACTCCTTTGTATCATTATGCAGAATCAGCATTTAGACACTAGCACACTTTTTCTTGTTCCTCTGAAGCAGGTATGTCATGCCAACAGCTTTCACCCCCCCCTGTTTGTAGTGTTCTTGAGTAGACTTGCCAGCTCTGATCCCCCACAATTCCCAGAAATCTCCCCACCTCTTTGGTTTGCTCCCCTTTAAACAGCTGTAATTGAAAATCCATGTTTGTCATAATTCTGGAATAGTACTGAATGGGTGGAGTGTGAACGTTTAAACTACATTGGGATCCTTAACGTTAAGAAAAATCACTAACTGTAGAGACACACTCAGGTCTATAAAGACCTTAGGCAAGTTGTGTAATTTAAATTTCCACCCCAGTATCTCTATTTGCACATCATCTCTTGCACATCTATCATTCTAGTGTTAATACTAAATTGTAATTATTTTGCACTATGGCCTATTTATTGCCTTACCTCCATAACTTGCTACATTTGCACACACTGTATATATATTTTCTGTTGTATTTTTGACTTTATGTTTTGTTTACCCCATATGTAACTCTGTGTTGTTTTTTATCGCTTTGCTTTCTCTTGGCCAGGTCACAGTTGTAAATGAGAAATTGTTCTCAACTGGCTTACCTGGTTAAATAAAGGTTAAATAAAAAATAAAAATAAATTTAAACTAGAGAGGAAGAGGAAAACTTTAGGCTACTTTGGAGAATTTGCAAGATATACAAGACAAGAGATACAGATTACCAAGACATATGTGTACCACAGTTCTTTCTGCCTGCCCCCTCCTCCCTTGTGCTGGCAGCATCACATTAGTGGAAACCAAGACCATTCTTTGGGCAGGCCTGGTTGTCAAGGACAATTTTAGCTAACCTTAACCTAATTCTCCTAACCTGCCACATTAATCTCTTAACCTGCCACATTAATTCTCCTAACCTGCTGCGTAAATTCTCCTAACCTGCTACAAAACCGGCATACCTGCCCTCTGGTCCAATAAAAATAGTAGCTCAAATACTTTTTCAGTATATCCTGTTACTATCATCCGTAAAATGTATGTGTAAATCAGTAGGTCCTGATTAAGCATGAACAACAGTACAACTATAAAACTCTCTAAGAACCTAAATAACTTATCTCATTGGCTTATTATTATGAAAAACATCCCCACAGAATGATGCTGCCACCACCATGGTGATGAGAGGTGTTGGGTTTGTGCCAGACATAGCGTTTTCCTTGATGGCCAAAAAGCTCAATTTTAGTCTCATCTGACCAGAGTACCTTCTCCCACATGCCTTTTGGCGAACACCAAACGTGTTTGCTTATTTTGTTCTTTAAGCAATGGCTTTTTTCTGGCCACTCTTTTGTAAAGCCCAGCTCTGTGGAGTGTAAGGCTTAAAGTGGCCCTATGGACAGATACTCCAATCTCTGCAGTGGAGCTTTGCAGCTCCTTCAGGGTTATCTTTGGTCTCTTTGTTGCCTCTCCGATTAATGCCCTCCTTGCCTGGTCCGTGAGTTTTGGTGGGCGGCCCTCTCTTGGCAGGTTTGTTGTGGTGCCATATTTTTTAATAATGGATTTAATGGTGCTCCGTGGGATGTTCAAAGTTTCTGATATTTTTTTATAACCCAACCCTGATCTGTTCTTCTCCACAACTTTGTCCCTGACCCGTTTGGAGAGCTCCTTAGTCTTCATGGTGCCGCTTGCTTGGTGGTGCCCCTTGCTTAGTGGTGGTGCCCCTTGCTTAGTGGTGTTGCAGACTCTGGGGCCTTTCAGAACAGGTGTATATATACTGAGATCATGTGACAGATCATGTGACACTTAGAATGCAAACAGGTGGACTTTATTTAACAAATTATGTGACTTCTGAAGGTAATTGGTTGCACCAGATCTTATTTAGGGGCTTCATAGCAAAGGGGGTGAATACATATGCACGCACCACTTTTCCGTTATTTATTTTTTTGAATTTTTTGAAACAAGTAATTTTTTTAAATCTCACTTCACCAATTTGGACTATTTTGTGAATGTCCATTACATGAAATCCAAATAAAAATCCATCTAAATTACAGGTTGTAATGCAACAAAATAGGAAAAACGCCAAGGGGGATGAATACTTTTGCAAGGCACTGTATAGGTAAAAAAAAAAAGATCTTCCTTATATATCTCAGGTGTAGGACAGACACTTTAAAACAAACCTCCTTTGATTCATTTTTGGGCAATTATTTTCCATGTATGAATCTGTTACTCGGTGTGTTTCTATGGGCTGATAGCAGTAAGGCCAAATTCAATGTTTCATTAAATATTTATTTTATATACCTATAGGGGTCCTAAAATAGCTAAATGATCATTGGTACGACTATTTCAAAACAATCCCCCCCCGGCTTAGACTCTTAAGTATTAAACAATCTACATTGGTTGATTGCTAGGCATACAACAAATATTATTTGTTAATACATTTGAAACGAGGTCTAGTTGTGGCTGCAACCGGACTAGATTGTGAACGACTCTTGGTGAAATGCATTGCTTGACTGCCGTGAGGGTGAAAAGTAGCCTGACGACTCACACTAAATTCTTCCGCTGCTCTGTTGTTCGCTACATACTGCTGCGGAGAAGAAAGTAACGTCTGTGGCATAGCGTTTGGCCGGAGCCTGGGTAGCCAGGCAAGGTGATAATCACAGTCGTTCGCGAACTGCAGCCCCCCAAACGATTAGTTAGAGTTTGTTGAGCAGAGGCTATGTATGTTTTGGTTCTACAAAGCTGTGTCCATCATAACGTTCAATAATAAATTAATTGCAGTCATTTGATAAATTATCAGTTCTAAACATGTATTTTTCTTCTCTATGCTCATGATCTATTTTCCTGCGCGCATATGACAGACAGTTGGTGGTCGGTGCATGTCTCTGGAGTCGCTGAGCCGGAGGAATGTGTAATACTATTAATCCTGCTGTAGAACTCATTGCAGCGAGCACTAGCAGGTCAAAATCATACCTCAGTGGGGTCAAACGAACGACTAATATCAAGGTTCGCACAAGGTGCTTAAAGTACTTGAATTTGGCACTCTGAAATTCAAGTATTCGAATACCTTGAAAATCTAACATTTTCTCAAGTTGGTGCTTGAAAATTACTTTTATTAAAATGAGAGGAGAACAGAAAATGAAGAAATATGAAAAATATTAGAAATGTATTGGTCTTGCAAATTAATTTCCAGGCAGACTACCGAGTTTTATTTCCTCACGTGTCTCTGGTTGCCAGGCGAGCTCGCTTATTCCATCCACACTGCCACTCAGCCAGGCAGGTACAAAACTGACTGATTAGTTCTGTACCGCCAAACGTCACATCGATAGCTAAAAGGCCGGGCAAATGTAGATTCAATTCTGCCTGGCAGGATATTGATGTTTATGAATGGGTTTCGCCAGACCCAACCAGGAATGTAGTGGAGGGTAAATGCTGTTTATGCACCTTTTTATTTGTGAATTAGAATTTACTCACTTTTTTATTTTGTTAATGATAATTTACCCACTTCTTGATCTGAGTTCTAATCGCGCCTACATCTGCGAATGAGTGGAATCATTAATGATTAATGTATGCTCGTTATGTTCGCCTTTTTGAGCTGAACACACACACATGCACACCAGAAGAGAGAGGTGGGTTAGACAGCTTGAATAAAGTGTGTGTATTCCATATGTGTATTGTCAGGTTTACAGGTCAGGAAGGCCCCAGTGGCTTTGGCTTTGAGCTGACGTTCAGGCTGAAGAGAGAGGTGGGAGAGACTGCACCCCCTACCTGGCCGGCTGAACTCATGCAGGGCCTGGCCCGCTACGTCTTCCAATCAGGTAAGAACCCAGGCTCTGTGTGTGTGCCTAGTGTGGAGGGGATTTAGTCATTAGAGTAAGGTTAGGAGAAGGTAGTTGTCGACCAATTACAAGCAAGGTACTCTGAGCGTTTTATTACTCTTCACCACACACTGCCTCCACATGGAGATTTTGGAGCATGTCAATATTTGTAACCTTATGTCACTCTACGTCAGTGACGTTTCGCTAAGGAGAGCACTTGGTGGTCACCAGCACAATCATCTCCAGCTTCCAATTGGGTCTTTCAACCCCTTGCTTCTCCACCGCAACTTCCTAATGTAGCCTGTAAAAGAGGAGAATGTGTTCTCAGTCAGCTTATCTGGTAGAATAACGGCTAATATAAGTAAATGTGGACTAGAAGAGCATGTTGTGTAATGTATAATCCTAGCCTCCGTGTTTTTAAAGACCTGGCCAGCTCTAAATGGTTCCTCTTGGCCATGTAAACACAAACCTCTGCGACAGAGCTAAAGCTTGTGTCTGAGGTCGTGCATAAGCTGCTGTTTAGCCGTAATCAGGATATTTTCAACTAACCTTTACTTGGCGATACGTTCTTCCTTCTCGATTCGGAAGAAACTTGTTTCTTGTAAACTTCTGTGTCCGGTTGCAATGGGAACTCCAAAAACCAGAGAATATTCTGGGAAACAGAGAGGGAGGGAGGGCCATTCTCTCTAGGTTATTCTACGCCCCTGTCTGCTCTCCAGCTGGGGTCAATTTAAACGTGCGTGGGCCCTGCGCTGGATGGATGAATACTGGATCCCTGGCCCTCCATCCTCTCCTCCTTTTCCTTCCCATATCTTTTCCAGTATATCTGGACTGGGTGCCTGTTACCTCACAAGCAGATTGATTCCTCTGGCAGGATCTCTTGCTTACTCTCTCCCCCTCTCATCGCCTCTTTCTCTTCTCAGTTTTTCCCCCTCATCAAGCTACACACTACCCCATAATGACAAAGCAAAAACAGGTTTTTAGACATTTTTGCAAATGTATTAAAAATAATCAACTGAAATATAACATTTACATAAGTATTCAGACCCTTTACTCAGTACTTTGTTGAAGAACCTTTGCCAGCGATTACAGCCTTGAGTCTTCTTGGGTATGACGTTACAAGCTTGGCACACCTGTATTTGGGGAGGTTCTAGCATTCTTCTTTGCAGATCCTCTCAAGCTCTGTCAGGTTGGATGGGGAGCATCGCTGCACAGCTATTTTCAGGTCTCTCCAGAGATGTCCGATCAGGTTCAAGTCCGGGCTCTGGCTGGGCCACTCAAGGACCTTCAGAGACTTGTCCCGAAGCCACTCCTGCGTTCTCTTGGCTGTGTGCTTTGGGTCGTTATCCTGTTGGAAGGTGAACCTTTGCCCCAGTCTGTGGTCCTGAGCGCTCTGGAGCAGGTTTTCATCAAGGATCTCTCTGTACTTTGCTCCGTTCATCTTTCCCTCGATCCTGACTAGTCTCCCAGTCCCTGCCGCTGAAAAACAGCAACTTAAGTGGTTCCTCTCATTGGTGTAGTCATGGCCCTGCCTCCTATGTGTGTATATCATAGGACTGTTCCTCTTCACTTCATCTGACCTGACCTCGGGCCACATTCCTCACTCCTCCCTAACTCACGGCTGTCCTACCTTATCAGTTACTGAAACCAGACTGTGGCCCTTCTCCTCTCCATAGGATACCTGAGATTTAACAATAACATGTTCTGACAGAATTTTAACTTTCTGCACTCCTCTTTCTCACTCAGTATATTTCCATACCCTCAGTTCTAATATGGTAACATCAAAAAGGATATTTCATATTTCAAGTTTAGAAGTTAGTACCCAACAGAATGAAGGAGGCCACTGTGTTCTTGGGGACCTTCAATGCTGCAGACATTTTTGGGTACCCTTCCCCAGATCTGTGTCTCGACACAATCCTTTCTCGGAGCTCTACAGACAATTCCTTCAACCTCATGGCTTGGTTTTTGCTCTGACATGCACTGTCAACTGTGAGACCTTTATATAGACAGGTGTGCCTTTCCAAATCATGTCCAATCAATTGAATTTACCATTGGTGGACTCCAATCAAGTTGTTGAAACATCTCAAGGATGATCAATGGAAACAGGATGCACCTGAGCTCAATTTCGAGTCTCATAGCAAAGGGTCTGAATACTTATGTAAATAAATTATTTCAGTTTTTTGTCTCAAATGTCTAAAAACCTGTTTTTGCTTTGTCATTATGGGGTATTGGTGTGTATATTGATGAGGGAAAAAAAACAATTTAATCCATTTTAGAATAAGGCTGTAACGTAACAAAATGTTACTCGGTTCAGGAAACTAGGTGCATGTCGCACGTCACTACTTCACAGGAGAGCCATTTGAACTTAAACTTTTTTATTTGATCAAAATGCGTTTTTTTATAAAATAAATGTCTTCTGGAACATGTGAACTTTCATGTGCCTTAATAACAAACTTGTATGCCATCTGTAAATACGTATACAATTGTTAAATTACGAGCCTAGTTGGTTTAGCCACGGAAAAAGACAGCAACCTTCCCCGCTAGCCATGATTGGCTGAGATAATGAGTGGGCTGGACATGCCGAGAGATGAGTTCAGATTGGTCTGCCATGTAGCACGCTTCTGTCTATAACATGAGCTGGTCAGTATGTGTAGGTAATATTTTCTAAATCTTCTTTTTTGAAAGATATCACGTAGTAGAACTGCAGAAGTGTTGCTCTCCACTTTCTGGAGGACCGCGTTTTGAAATCAGTGGAATTAGTGTGATAGCTAAGGAGATGGAGAAAATTCTGGCGTTTGTTTGCGAATATGCAGGCGTAGTCAAAAAGAGAACATAGAAGGCTGTTGTATAAAACACCTTTCTCTGGATTACATCTTCAAACTAAGGGCAACCATGGCATCTGTGACAGAGAGGGAGAAGCGTCCATCCATGTATACGGGTAAGATAGTCTAGCTAGCTACATTTTCAGATGCTACACTTTTCTAATTTTATCAAAGTCGTTTTCATTTAAAGTTAAAGTGTAATGTTAGCTAGCTAGCTAACGTTTGCTGGCTCGCTCGCTAGCTAACGTTACGTGTATGATCTGTGTAGTAATATTATTCGTATCTCAGAGCAATTTGCATTGCTAGTTATAGGCAAATGTTAGCTATCTAACATTGAACCTGGTTGGGTAGCTACCTGCAGATTCATGCAGGGTAGTAACGTTATGAGTTGGGATTATGGTTAATTGTTTAGCTAGCTAACTACATGTCTAAACAAGACTCCACTATGCAAGTAACCATTTCAATAGAATGTTCATGATGTCATTGCGACAACTGTCGATAGACGTAGCTGGTAAATTCGCTCTGGCTATCTACTCCGATTTCAGAGCACTCTCGTCTGAGTGTGCCAGAGTGCAGAATAACTCACAAATTTTACGAACGCTCAACAGCCATTGAATATGGCCGGTGTCAGTAAACGTTGGCAAAAAAGCGTAATTAAATTGTTTCCAGCAGCACAGTTGCAGTCACCAACGCTCTGGATAACATTAAAACAGCCTAACCAGCTCTGCTAGGGCGAGTAAAATGGTCAGAGTGAACTGTTCTTGGTGTCTGGAAGTAGCTAGCAAGCTAGCCAACGTTAGCCAGTTAGCTTGGGTGCTTGACTGCTGTTGCTCGGATCAACTTCTGAATGCTCCGAGAGCGAAATGCTCAGAATTTACGAAAGGACAATCTGACAACGCTCTGAGTTTACGAACACCCAGAGCACACTCAGTAGAACACCCAGAGCACACTTTACGAACACACCCGTAGTATAGACCAGCCTTTAGTCTTGATGTCTTTTGTTGTTTAGTACATGGCCTCACATATGAATCCTTAAAGAGATGGGTGGGGCTAAAGCTTAAAAGGGTGTGAACGATGCTGAATGGGTGTAGACAAAGAAGAGCTCTCCAGTAAGTGTACCAAAACATTCAAGGGCCATTTTCTGAAAAGTGAGGTTACAAGTTTATCAACTTTCAATGCAGAATTACTTTCCCATTGTTCCTCAACTGTAGTGAATGATATACCATTTTCTAGCTCTACTTTTATCCAATGTAAAAACACCATTTGAAATGTTGCTACATAAGATCGAGCCGGTCGGTCACAACTGTGGAAAAAGTATAGGGGTCTGAATACTTTCCGAATGCACTGTATACACACACTCCCTTTATTCTCTCACTCTTTCTCTTATCATTCTTACTATGACTCTTTTCTTTCAGTTTGATAGTCCTTTCACTTTCTCATTTGCTGTTAGACTAGTGATGAGAAAACTGTAATGTATTTTCCGATATATCACAGAGTAGTCTTTCACCTCCATGTCGCTCCTCTGTCCTGTAGAAAACACATTTTGCAGTGGAGACCACATATCGTGGCACAGTCCCCTGGACAACAGTGAGTCTCGTATCCAACACATGCTGCTCACTGAGGACCCCCAGATATCGCCGGTCCACACACCCTTCGGCCTGGTCAACTTCCTGCAGGTGAGCTAATCTAGCCCAAGGCTCTCAGGCCTAACCCCTCAATTCCCTCCGTCGAGTATATAATAGCATTCTGTGTGTGTGTTCTTTTACCCTCTTTTTCGTACTCCTTTTTTTCCCTTTCTCTGTTTTTGTGTGTGTGTGTTAACTCCCTCTCCTCTCTCTGTAGATTGTGGGTGTGTGTACAGAAGAGTTGCAGGCTGCCCAGCAGTGGAACGGCCAGGGAATACTGGAGCTGCTTCGAGGGGTCCATGTGTGAGTTTGAAATATGAGATACCTCCCTGCCAGACTACCAGTCTTATTTCACATTAACCCAGTGTGACCGAGTCCATGATTCTCTTTTCTCCTCCATGCTGTCTGTGTTCAGTGCCGGAGGACCCTGGTTGATAACTGACATGAGGAGAGGAGAGACTATGTTTGACATCGACCCGCATTTACAAGTAAGGCTTTGATTAATTACTGTGTATTCATTCAAATTGTATTTTCATTTAAACAGCTCCACCTGCTGGTTCAGTCCCCACAATGTATTTGGGTGTCTGTTAATGTGTGTGTGTGTGGGCTAGTGTTAATGTTTGCGTGTGGGTGTTTGCTCATCCTAAGCAGGAGCGTGTGGACCAGGGTATAGAGACAGAGGGATCCAACCTGAGCGGCGTGAGCGCCAAGTGTGTGTGGGACGACCTCAGCCGACCGTCCGAGGATGAAGAGGATAGCCGCTCCATCTGTATAGGATCTCAGCCACGAAGACTGTCGGAAAAAGGTAACAAACACACACACACAAACCTAACCTATCCCTAGACACTTTTAATGGGCCCTCATAGATCTGACCTGGGTTGTGTTCAATAGGCACCAAATGTTTTTTTTTTTTTTATTGAAACAGGGAAGGACTATTTGTTTTCTGTTGCAAAACTATATAAAAACATGTATGTATGTGTGTGTGTGTGTGTGTGTGTGTGTGTATATATATATATATATATATATATATATATATATATATATATATATATATATACACACACACACACAGTGGGGAGAACAAGTATTTGATACACTGCCGATTTTGCAGATTTTCCTACTTACAAAGCATGTAGAGGTCTGTAATTTGTATCATAGGTACACTTCAACTGTGAGAGATGGAATCTAAAACAAAAATCCAGAAAATCACATTGTATGATTTTTAAGTAATTAATTTGCATTTTATTGCATGACATAAGTATTTGATACATCAGAAAAGCAGAACTTAATATTTGGTACAGAAACCTTTGTTTGCAATTACAGAGATCATATGTTTCCTGTAGGTCTTGACCAGGTTTGCACACACTGCAGCAGGGATTTTTGCCCACTCCTCCATACAGACCTTCTCCAGATCCTTCAGGTTTCGGGGCTGTCGCTGGGCAATACGGACTTTCAGCTCCCTCCAAAGATTTTCTATTGGGTTCAGGTCTGGAGACTGGCTAGGTCACTCCAGGACCTTGAGATGCTTCTTACGGAGCCACTCCTTAGTTGCCCTGGCTGTGTGTTTCGGGTCGTTGTCATGCTGGAAGACCCAGCCACCACCCATCTTCAAAGCTCTTACTGAGGGAAGGAGGTCGTTGGCCAAGATCTCGCGATACATGGCCCCATCCAGCCTCCCCTCAATACGGTGCAGTCGTCCTGTCCCCTTTGCAGAAAAGCATCCCCAAAGAATGATGTTTCCACCTCCATGCTTCACGGTTGGGATGGTGTTCTTGGGGTTGTACTCATCCTTCTTCTTCCTCCAAACACGGCGAGTGGAGTTTAGACCAAAAAGCTATATTTTTGTCTCATCAGACCACATGACCTTCTCCCATTCCTCCTTTGGATCATCCAGATGGTCATTGGCAAACTTCAGACGGGACATGCGCTGGCTTGAGCAGGGGGACCTTGCGTGCGCTGCAGGATTTTAATCCATGACGGCGTAGTGTGTTACTAATGGTTTTCTTTGAGACTGTGGTCCCAGCTCTCTTCAGGTCATTGACCAGGTCCTGCCGTGTAGTTCTGGGCTGATCCCTCACCTTCCTCATGATCATTGATGCCCCACGAGGTGAGATCTTGCATGGAGCCCCAGACCGAGGATGATTGACCGTCATCTTGAACTTCTTAAATTTTCTAATAATTGCGCCAACAATTGTTGCCTTCTCACCAAGCTGCTTGCCTGTTGTCCTGTAGCCCATCCCAGCCTTGTGCAGGTCTACAATTTTATCCCTGATGTCCTTACACAGCTCTCTGGTCTTGGCCATTGTGGAGAGGTTGGAGTCTGTTTGATTGTGTGGACAGGTGTCTTTTATACAGGTAACGAGTTCAAACAGGTGCAGTTAATACAGGTAATGAGTGGAGAACAGGAGGGCTTCTTAAAGAAAAACTAACAGGTCTGTGAGAGCCGGAATTCTTACTGGTTGGTAGGTGATCGAATACTTATGTCATGCAATAAAATGCAAATTAATTACTTAAAAATCATACAATGTGATTTTCTGGATTTTTGTTTTAGATTCCATCTCTCACAGTTGAAGTGTACCTATGATAAAAATGTCAGACCTCTACATGCTTTGTAAGTAGGAAAACCTGCAAAATCGGCAGTGTATCAAATACTTGTTCTCCCCACTGTATATACATACATGCATACAGTACCAGTCAAAAGTTTGGACAGGTTTTTCTTTATTTTTGCTATTTTTTACATTGTAGAATAATAGTGAAGACATCAAAACTATGAAATAACACATATAGAATCACGTAGTAACCAAAAAAGTGTTAAACAAATACACTGCTCAAAAACATAAAGGGAACACTAAAATAACACATCCTAGATCTAAATGAATGAAATAATCTTATTAAATACTTTTTTCTTTACATAGTTGAATGTGCTGACAACAAAATCACACAAAAATTATCAATGGAAATCAAATGTATCAACCCATGGAGGTCTGGATTTGGAGTCACCCTCAAATTTAAAGTGGAAAACCACACTACAGGCTGATCCAACTTTGATGTAATGTCCTTAAAACAAGTCAAAATGAGGCTCAGTAGTGTGTGTGGCCTCCACGTGCCTGTATGACCTCCCTACAACGCCTGGGCATGCTCCTGATGAGGTGGCGGATGGTCTCCTGAGGGATCTCCTCCCAGACCTGGACTAAAGCATCCGCCAACTCCTGGACAGTCTGTGGTGCAACTTGGCGTTGGTGGATGGAGCGAGACATGATGTCCCAGATGTGCTCAATTGGATTCAGGTCTGGGGAACGGGCAGGCCAGTCCATAGCATCAATGCCTTCCTCTTGCAGGAACTGCTGACACACTCCAGCCACATGAGGTCTAGCATTGTCTTGCATTAGGAGGAACCCAGGGCCAACCGCACCAGCATATGGTCTCACAAGGGGTCTGAGGATCTCATCTCGGTACCTAATGGCAGTCAGGCTACCTCTGGCGAGCTCATGGAGGGCTGTGCGGCCCCCCAAAGAAATGCCACCCCACACCATGACTGACCCACCGCCAAACCGGTCATGCTGGAGGATGTTGCAGGCAGCAGAACGTTCTCCACGGCGTCTCCAGACTCTGTCACGTCTGTCACGTGCTCAGTGTGAACCTGCTTTCATCTGTGAAGAGCACAGGGCGCCAGTGGCGAATTTGCCAATCTTGGTGTTCTCTGGCAAATGCCAAACGTCCTGCACAGTGTTGGGCTGTAAGCACAACCCCCACCTGTGGACGTCGGGCCCTCATACCACCCTCATGGAGTCTGTTTCTGACCGTTTGAGCAGACACATGCACATTTGTGGCCTGCTGGAGGTCATTTTGCAGGGCTCTGGCAGTGCTCCTCCTGCTCCTCCTTGCACAAAGGCGGAGGTAGCAGTCCTGCTGCTGGGTTGTTGCCCTCCTACGACCTCCTCCACGTCTCCTGATGTACTGGCCTGTCTCCTGGTAGCGCCTCCATGCTCTGGACACTACGCTGACAGACACAGCAAACCTTCTTGCCACAGCTCGCATTGATGTGCCATCCTGCATGAGCTGCACTACCTGAGCCACTTGTGTGGGTTGTAGACTCCGTCTCATGCTACCACTAGAGTGAAAGCACCGCCAACATTCAAAAGTGACCAAAACATCAGCCAGAAAGCATAGGAACTGAGTAGTGGTCTGTCGTCACCACCTGCAAAACCAGTCCTTTATTGGGGGTGTGTTGCTAATTGCCTATATTTTCCACCTGTTGTCTATTCCATTTGCACAACAGCATGTGAAATTTATTGTCAATCAGTGTTGCTTCCTAAGTGGACAGTTTTATTTCACAGAAGTGTGATTGACTTGGAGTTACATTTTGTTGTTTAAGTGTTCCCTTTATTTTTTTGAGCAGTGTATATATATTTTATATTTGAGATTCTTCAAATAGCCACCCTTTGCCTTGATGACAGCTTTGCACACTCTTGGCATTCTTTCAACCAGCTTCACCTGGAATGATTTTCCAACAGTCTTGAAGGAGTTCCCACATATGCTGAGCACTTGTTGGGTGCTTTTCCTTCACTCTGCCTTCCGACTCATCCCAAAACATCTCAATTGGGTTGAGGCCGGGGGATTGTGGAGGCCAGGTCATCTGATGCAACACCCCATTACTCTCCTTCTTGGTCAAATAGCCCTTACACAGCCTGGAGGTGTGTTGGGTCATTGTCCTGTTGAAAAACAAAGGATAGTCCCACTAAGGCCAAACCAGATGGGATGGCATATCGCTGCAGATTGCTGTGGTAGCCATGCTGGTTAAGTGTGCCTTGAATTCTAAATACATCACCAGCAAAGCACCCCCACACCATAACACCACCTCCTCCATGCTTTACGGTAGGAACTACACATGCAGAGATAATCCGTTCACCCACACCACGTCTCACAAAGACACAGCGGTTTGAACCAAAAATCTCAAATTTGGACTCTAGACCAAAGGACAAATTTCCACCGGTCTAATGTCCATTGCTCGTGTTTCTTGGCCCAAGCAAGTCTCTTCTTATTGTTGTTGTCCTTTAGTAGTGGTTTCTTTGCAGCAATTCGACCATGAAGGCCTGATTCACACAGTCCCCTCTGAACAGTTGATGTTGAGATGTGTCTGTTACTTGAACTCTGTGAAGCACTTATTTGGGCTGCAATTTCTGAGGCTGGTAACTCTAATGAACGTATCTTCTGCAGCAGAGGTAACTCTGGGTCTTCCATTCCTGTGGTGGTCCTCATGAGAGCCAGTTTCATCATAGCGCTTGAGGGTTTTTGCGACTGCACTTGAAGGAACTTTCAAAGTTCTTGAAATGTTCCGTATTGACTGACCTTCATGTCTTAAAGTAATGATAGACTGTTGTTTCTCTTTGCTTATTTGAGTTGTTCTTGCCATAATATGGACTTTATCTTTTACCAAATAGGGCTGTCTTCTGTATTCCCCTACCTTGTCACAACACAACTGATTGGCTCAAACGCATTAAGAAGGAAATACCTTCCACAAATTAACTTTGAAGAAGGCACACCTGTTAATTGAAATGCATTCCAGGTGACTACCTCATGAAGCTGGTTGAGAGAATACTAAGAATGTGCAAAGCTGTCATCAATATATTTTGATTTGTTTAACACTTTTTTGGTTACTACATGATTCCATATGTGTTATTTCATAGTTTTTACATTTTCACTATTATTCTACAATGTAAAAAATAAAAAATTAATAAAGAAAACCCCTTGAATGAGTAGGTGTGTCCAAACTTCTGATTGATAGTGTATATTGTGTGTGCCCTATTGGACACTACCCAGATAAGTGTAAGCAATATGGTGATTTAAGTCCTATCTGAGTGGTTTTGTGTCCTAATGTTACTGTATGTCCCAAAACTAACCCAATGGTTTGGTTTGTCCCCTGCAGATACAGAGCAGATCAGAGAAGCCCTGAGGAAAGGACTGGAGTTCAACACTAAAGCAGCACTACCCCCTATCAACTCACAGAAACAAGGACATGACAGGCCTCAGTGAGTACATACACACACAGTGCAGCTGCTGTTTACTCACTTTCCCACTCCAAACTTTCATTCTGAGTCAGCATAGAGGCACACACACGCCACTCATGTTTTTCTCTTTCCTCTGAAGCGGTGATGTCACATCAACAGCTTTCACCCCCTCCTTTGTAGTGTTCTCTAGAGTAGACTATACACATGCGTACCCCTCCCCTTAACCCAGCCAGAGACCACGCCATGAGACCCCAGTGTGTACGCAGTATTGGGACATAGGTGTATGAAATTGTATGTGGTACAATTCTCCCCCTGGTTTCTCCATAGAGAAACAATGGCCATTACAAAGCCAGCAGTATCACAGGTAAGAGAAAGCCGAGATGAGGGGTAAGGTGCTTATGCACATGTCCAGTTCCATAGCGATCTCATTCACACACTTTATAGGGAGCTACAGGCCACAATCGGACTTGTTTCCCCTGAACGTAAGTACGTAAGCGGTCATTTAAATCTCTTTCTGACTCTCCTTCTCTCGCTTTCTCTAGAAGTCGTAAGGACAGTCTGGAGAGTGAGAGTTCGGCGGCCATCGTTCCTCACGAGCTAGTTCGTACCAGACAACTGGAGAGTGTTCATCTGAAATTCAACCAGGAGTCAGGAACACTGCTGCCCCTCTGTCTCAGGTACGCGCACTGGAGTTGGGGGTGAGCCTGGGTCTTCCCACATGCATACAGATTACATAAAACAAGACCAGGGTCATCTGAGCCCTTTGTTTGTGAAAGCAGGAGAGATAGGGAGGCGGTGTCTGAGATGGATGGATGGAGTGAGTGAGCGAGACGGTGGGTGAGAAGAAGCAAGGTTCTCCAACCCAGCAGACGTCTTACAATACAGTATGTATTCAGTGACGTTTAATGATTGTTGTGCTGGTCATCTTCTGTGCTTAGGGGTCGTTTGCTCCATGGTAGACACTTCACCTATAAGAGTATAAATGGAGACACAGCCATCACCTTTGTATCCACTGGAGTAGAGGGGGCCTTTGCTACTGAGGAACACCCGTATGCCGCACATGGACCCTGGCTACAGGTAAACACACACTGGCTCCTGGTACACACACAAACTGCTTCAAGTGAATACTTGCTGCATGTACTTACTGCATGTACTTATGTTACCATATCTGCTCCTCAGATATTGCTGACTGAGGAGTTTGTTGAACAGATGCTTGGAGATCTATCGGAGCTCAACACTCGAGAGGAGGTGAGGGAAACACCTTTTACCATTCTTTACAGGGGTAATATATAAAATGGAGTGGCTGCAGATCTGAGTTCCCTGGAACCCTCTTCCCGACAGCTAAAGCTCTACTCGTTCGGCTGCTCTGTGTGATGAATTGAGAATGGTACTTGTTTAATAAAGTTAGATCTAAGCTGAATCAATGTCTGCGAGATCAATGATAGTATTCTACACAACAGAACAGAATATAATACCATATAACGTTACTGTAAGACAAAAAAGACCACCTCATTTCTTATGATATTTATGGATGATTGTGCGAATGGTTGCATTTTTCTTTCATGCGGCCAAAATTCAACTGCACATGACTCTAGGCAATATACAGTGCCTTCAGAAAGTATTCATACCCCTTGACTTATTCCACATTTTGTTGTTACAGCCTGAATTCAAAATTGATCCATTTATTTTGTTTTTCACCAATCTACACACAATACCCTATAATGACAGTGAAAACATGTTTTTAGAAATTTTAACACATTTATTTAAAATGAAATCTCTAATTTACATAAGTATTCACACCCCTCAGTCAATACTTTGTAGAACCACCTTTCGCAGCGATTACAGCTGTGAGTCTTTCTGGATAACTCTCTAAGAGCTTTCCACACCTGGATTGTGCAACATTTTCCAATGTATTCTTTTCTAAATTCTTCAAGCTCTGTCAAATTGGTTGTTATTCATAGCAAGAAAGACATTTTCAAGTCTTGCCAATAGATTTTAAAACAGTTTTAGTCAAAACTGTAATGTGGACACTCAGGAATATTCACTGTCTTCTTGGTAAGCAACTCCAGTGTAGATTTGGCCTTGTGTTTTAGGTTATTGTCCTTCTGAAAGGTGAATTCATCTCCTGGTGACTGGTGGAAAGCAGACTGGACTGAACCATGTTTTCCTCTAGAATTTTGTCTGTAATTAGTTCCATTCTGTTTCTTTTTTATCCTGAAAAACTCCCCAGTCCTTAACATGATACAGCCACCACCATGCTTGAAAATATGGAGAGTGGGACTCAGTAATGTGTTGGATTTGGATTTGCCCCAACCATAACACTTTATGTTCAGGACAAAAAGTAAATAGCTTTGCCACATTTTTTGCAGTTTTACTTTAGTGCCTTGTAGCAGGATGCATGTTTTGGAATATTTACAGTTGAAGTCGGAAGTTTACATACACCTTAGCCAAATACATTTTTACTCAGTTTTTCACAATTCCTGACATTTAATCCTAGTAAATATTCCCTGTCTTAGGTCAGTTAGGATCACCACTTTATTTTAAGAATGTGAAATGTCAGAATAATAGTAGAGAGAATGATTTATTTCAGCTTTTATTTATTTAATCACATTCCCAGTGGGTCAGAAGTTTACATACATTCAATTAGTATTTGGTAGCATTTCCTTTAAATTGTTTAACTTGGGTCAAACGTTTCGGGTAGCCTTCCACAAGCTTCCCACAATAATTTGGGTGAATTTTGGCCCATTCCTCCTGACAGAGCTGGTGTAACTGAGTCAGGTTTATAGGCCTCCTTGCTCGGACACGCTATTTCAGTTCTGCCCACACATTTTCTATAGGATTGAGGTCAGGGCTTCGTGATGGCCACTCCAATACCTTGACTTTGTTGTCCTTAAGCCATTTTGCCACAACTTTGGAAGTATGTTTGGGGTCATTGTCCATTTGGAAGACCCATTTGCGACCAAGCTTTAACTTCCTGACTGATGTCTTGAGATGTTGCTTCAATATATCCACATAATTTTCCTTCCTCATGATGCCATCTATTTTGTGAAGTGCACCAGTCCCTCCTGCAGAAAAGCACCCCCACAGCATGATGCTGCCACCCCCGTGCTTCACGGTTGGGATGGTGTTCTTCGGCTTGCTAGGCACCCCCTTTTTCCTCCAAACATAACAATGGTCATTATGGCCAAACAGTTCAATTTTTGTTTCATCAGAACAGGAGACATTTCTCCAAAAAGTACAATCTTTGTCCCCATGTGCAGTTGCAAACCGTAGTCTGGCTTTTTTATGGCGGTTTTGGAGCAGTGGCTTCTTCCTTGCTGAGCGGCCTTTCAGGTTATGTCGATATAGGACTTGTTTTACTGTGGATATAGATACTTTTGTACCTGTTTCCTCCAGCATCTTCACAAGGTCTTTTGCTGTTGTTCTGGGATTGATTTGCACTTTTCACATCAAAGTATGTGCATGTCTAGGACACAGAACCCATGGTGTTAATACTTGCGTACTATTGTTTGTACAGATGAACGTGGTACCTTCAGGCGTTTGGAAATTGCTCCCAAGGATGAACCAGATTTGTGGATGTCTACAAAAATGTTTCTGAGGTCTTGGCTGATTTATTTAGATTTTCCCATTATGTCAAGCAAAGAGGCACTGAGTTTGAAGGTAGGCCTTTAAATACATCCACAGGTACACCTCTAATTGACTCAAATGATGTCAATTAGCCTATCAGAAGCTTCTAAAGCCATGACATAGTTTTCTGGAATTCTAAAAGCTTTTTAAAGGCACAGTCAACTTAGTTTATGTAAACTTCTGACCCACTGGTATTGTGATACAGTTAATTATAAGTGAAATAATCTGTCTGTAAACAATTGTTGGAAAAATTACTTGTGTCATGCACAAAGTAGATGTCCTAACCGACTTGCCAAAACGTAATGACTCCAACCTAAGTGTATGTAAACTTCCGACTGTATATTCTGTACAGGCTTCCTTCTTTTCACTCTGTCAATTAGGTTATTATTGTGGAGTAACTACAATGTTGTTGATCCATCCTCAGTTTTCTCTTATCACAGTCATTCAACTCTGTAATTGTTTTAAAGTCACCATTGGCCTCATGGGGAAATCCCTGAGCGGTTTCCTTTCTCTCAGGCAACTGAGTTAGGAAGGACACCTTTATCTTTGTAGTGACTGGGTGTATTGATACACCATCCAAAGTGTAATTAATAACTTCACTATGCTCAAAGGGATATTCAATGTCTGTTTATGTTTACCCATCTACCAATAGGTGCCTTTCTTTGCAAGGCATTGGAAAATGTCCCTGGTCTTTGTGGTTGAATCTGTGTTTGAAATGCACTGCTAGACTGAGGGACCTTAGATAATTGTATGTGTGGGGTACAGAGATGATGTAGTCATTCAAGAATCATGATAAACACTATTATTGCACACAGAGTGAGTCTATGCAACTTATGTGACTTGTTAAGCAAATTTTTACTCCTGAACTTATTTAGGCTTGCCATAACAAAGGAGTTGAATACTTATTGACTCAAGACACTTCAGCTTTTCATTTGTAATTAATTTGTAAAAATTTCAAAAAACCATAATTCCACTTTGACATTACGGGGTATTGTGTGTAGGCTAGCAACCCAAAAAAATCTAAATGTATCAATTTTAAATTCAGGCTGTAACACAACAAAATGTGGAAAAAGTAAAGGGTGTGATTGAAACAAACACCGGTATTCTACAGTTTAACACCATCGGAAAGTATTCAGACCCCTTGACTTTTTCCACATTTTGTTATGTTACAGCCTTATTCTAAAATTGATTAAATTATTGTTTTCTTCATCAATCTACACACAATACCCAATAATTACCAAGCGAAAACAGGTTTTCAGAATTTTTTTCAAATGTTGTAACATTTAACAACTGGAATACCTTATTTACATAAGGATTCAGACCCTCAAAATTGAGCTCAGGTGCATCCTGTTTCCATTAATCATCCTTGAGATGTTTCTACAAATTGATTGGAGTCCACCTGTGGTAAATTCAATTGATTGGACATGATTTGGAAAGGCACACGCATGTCTATATAAGGTCCCACAGTTGACAGTGCATGTAGAGCAAAAACCAAGCCATCAGGTCAAACAAATTGTCCATAGAGTTCTGAGACAGGATTGTGTCGACGCACAGATCTGGGGGAGGGTACCAAAAAATGTCTGCAGCATTGAAGGTCCCCAAGAACACAGTGGCCTCTATCATTCTTAAATGGAAGAAGTTTGGAACCACCAAGACTCTTCCTAGAGCTGGCCCCCAGCCAAACTGAGCAATCGGGGGAGGAGGGCCTTGGTCAGGGAGGTGACCAAGAACCTGATGATCACACTGACTGAGCTCCAGAATTCCTCTGTGGAGATGGGAGAACCTTCCAGAAGGACAACCATCTTTGCAGCACTCTACCAATCAGGCCTTTATGGTAGAGTGGCCAGATGGAAGCCACTCCTCTGTAAAAGGCACATGACAACCAGCTTGGAGTTTGCCAAAAGGCACCTAAAGGACTCTCAGACCATGAGAAACAAGATTATCTGGTCTGATGAAACCAAGATTGAACTCTTTGGCCTGAATCCCAAGCATCACGTCTGGAGTAAACCTGGTACCATCCCTACAGTGAAGCATGGTGGTGGCAGCATCATGCTGTGGGTATATCTTTTGGCGGCAGTGTCAGAGAGACTAGTCAGGATCGAAGGATAGATGAACGGAGCAAAGTACAGAGAGATCGTTGATGAAAACCTGCTCCAGAGTATTCAGGACCTCAGACCTCACCTTCCAACATGACAACGATCTTAAGCACAGAGCCAAGACAACGCAGGAGTGGCTTCAGGACAAGTCTCTGAATGTCCTTGAGTGGCCCAGCCAGAGCCCGGACTTGAACCTGATCAAACATCTCTGGAGAGACCTGAAATAGCTGTGCAGCGACGCTCTCCATCCAAACTGACAGAGCTTGAGAGGATCTGCAGAGAAGAATGGGGGAAAAACTCAGCAAATACAGGTGTGCCAAGCTTGTAGCGTCATACCCAAGAAGACATGAGGCTGTAATCGCTGCCAAAGGTGCTTCAACAAAGTACTGAGTAAAGGGTCTGAATACTTATGTAAATGTGATATTTCAGTTTATTTGTTTATTTTATCACTCACGATTAACTGTGAGAAATGTGACGGGGGGGTGACCATAGAAATTTGTGCATAAAGTAGAGGTAAGGAAATCCATGCGCAGAATTTGATTCGGGTCTTCGGCTCTGGGGAAAGCTTCCGGGGGGGGGGGGGCTACCTATGGATCTGCAGCCTCGGCCTATAAAGAAGCTGTTCGGTAATCCTGTAATATTACGGTGGGAAGATTCCAGAAAAGTTCCTAGATTTTTCAGAAATCCTGGTTGGAGGATTCCAATAATAGTCAGGGAAGGAAAAACCCTGCAAAGTTTCCAGAATTTAAACTTTGTTCTGTATCTGTCATTAATACATTTTATCCTGTTTTGATTCCTCCTTCCAGACCAAGTTACCGAAGGAATACAGCTGGCCAGAGAAGAAATTGAAGATCTCGGTCCTGCCTGACTCTGTGTTCGACAGCCCTCTGCAGTGAGACTGCGACCCACTCCTCTTTTCAGAATACTCTGGACCTCCTTACACAGTCAGTTCCCATGGATGGACCTGTTCACCCAGCCTTTAAATGGGTCATGTTCATTAGGACAAATTGTAGCAAAGCGTTTCGCAACAACATGAAAACAAGTGTTTTTTATTGGACAAGTTCAGATAGTAGCTCCTTTAACACACACAAACACGTTTCGGACAGTTATCTTCCGTTTTGTGCCTACTGAACACAACCATGTTCTTTTAAAGGGGCTCTGGTCTGCCTTGTATATACCCAGGGTGAGAGAACCTGACCCAGCTACTGCAGGATGTCTGTTTCTATCACATCTGTCTTTGACTGTAGACTGTTACTGCCTTCTCTGACCTACCCACCTTTTTCTACTGGGTTTTTCAAACCTTTAGAAACGTCTGGAAATGTTCTGGAAACCTGTTTCTCCAAATAGCTGCCTTGCTAGATGAGACATGGATGCCATGTCTTGTGAATGGTTCAAATGTCTAGTTAGGATGAGACATCCACTAGACTCAACAAGTTTGTAGCACAGGCAAAGATGCAGGGTCAGTTGATTTAGTTCAAACATATGTTTGTTTTGTTTATTTGTGGAATTTTGTTTATTATTTCAATGTTTTTCTGAATGTCGCTAATTATAACTGGTGAGGTAAAAATAATGAAAAACTATCTACCAAATCTATTCATTTTAAAATGTTAATAATCTCTCCTTGCCATTATCATTCACCTGATAAGATCTTATTTTTATTTTGCCTGGGCCGGAGTCCCTGGGCAAGAAAAGTTTGAAGACCCCTGGCATAGGATGCCATTTTGGATGCCGACTCTGTGAAAATCAATCAAACCACATAATCCTCTCATTCTATTGTGTGTCGTCCGTCAAATATTTTTGCCATATCTTAGTTGTACCCCTGTACCAAGAGAGCCCAATTATTTTATAGAGTAATGTTTTTTATGTCTGTATTGTTTTACCCTTCTTTTGATTTTGGATCAAGATTACCCTACTCTTAAATTGCTCATGAAATGTATCTCTGAAGCTATACAATGACTTAACTACTATCAGAGGAAAGATTGTGTTTGTAAGAGTTTTTATAAGGGCTGAGAGATAGTGAAATGTGGGAGAGCGTATCAGAGAAAGTCCCATGTGGCCACACAGTTAGTCTAACTTTGTCACTGATTAACAGTTACTGTATTGTGTTTCTTGTCCTTAATTGAATCAGACGGTTGATAGAACTCATGTCAGTGCCTCCTCTCTGTGTTTGTTTTTAGGAGGCCAATAGAACTTGTCAAAGACTTGGTCCACTACACATTTCTAATCAATACTTTCTTCATGGAAACGTAATTCTTTAGTTTTGACACCAAAGCCAAAAAGTCTGATACTTTGTCCTTTATCACTGTCACAATGCGTGTCCTCAACTGTTACATTAATGTATTAATGTGTTCTCATAGATTGAAACGGCAGCAAGAGTCAGTCTACCAAGGCCTTAAAGTGTTTAGACTCCATGTATTGTATAGACTGTATCCACTGCCTACCGCTCTTGTATTTTAATGTACATCAGTTTCAATCAAGGACCTCTGTCTTCATTCACATACAGCATCCCAGATATATCTAATGCCATGACTGCATTCCATAGCTAGTTACACAAGAACAGGAGCTAAGTAACTCTTTCTATACAGTGGCCTCCTGTTCACAACATGTATTTTACTATGTCTTTCCTTTTTTTGTAAAAGAGCTTTTATTAGGGCATTTTGAAAGGTGATTTTTGTAGTACTGTTATTTTATAATGAATGAATGAATCACTAAACTGCCTGTTTCTATGTAATCACAAGTGCATTAAACAGAAATGTACATTAAAGTCAGTGGTTTTTGGTCTAATGGTCTATTGACATACTAAAGTGTAAATACATTAAAGACATGCTCCGGAACTTTGGCGACTACTAAGTATTTTTTAAGTATGAGTGACAGTCAGCAAGATGCACTTGATGCATCCACTGTAGAGCGAGAGAGGGAGCAATGACGTGGAGCACATATCTACACGTGACGCAGTATGCAATTTTCGGGGACCGAATCTCTTTTTAGTTGTTTCCATATATTGAATATATAATTAGGTATATTGAAAGGTGTATTGACTATTTTGGTATTGTTTTGACATGGGAGATTCTCAATTGGGAAAAAGTCCATTCTCTCATCGATGACTCCGTCCTCCTTTACTCCGTGACCCGGAAACCAATAAGTGGTCGAGGAGAGTCAATTGGCTAGTAGGCAAATGGAGGAGTGTCCTCCTCGCCGCCTCCCGCCGAGAAAGCACAAGAGTATCCTACCGGAGTCCTTCATGGAAGAGTTTTGAAATCCGCCACGCCCTTTGAGTCAGCTTTAGTTTTGTCCGAGGAGAAAAGCATGCATACGTTTAAAAACGATATGCTACTTATTTTATCTATAAAATGTCTAGCACAACTAGCTACATTTATTTTGTACTACTTTACACATTTATTTTGGGATACCACCCCTGTAAATGTCATTTGCATGATGACCCGCTAATGAAGGAGAGTAATTTCATACAAGCGCATTTGTTTCTACATTTCCTCTCCTTGCTCCCTCTCCTCGATTACCTTTGACCTTTTTCAAAAGGAGGATGGAGGAGTTGCGCAAAACCAATTGAGAATCTCCCAAGGATTTCCCCTGTAGTATTCTCACCTTGGAGAGACACTCTGATACATGCATTCGCAGTGGTAGGCCTACTTAGGAACAAAGACTGAAGCAGAAAGATTACTTTCATATGATTTCACCCCCCTGGGAATCATAATGAGAATCTCGGATGAGTTGCCCCAGAGCCATACATTTGCTGATATTTTGCGGAAGAGTTGTTAGTTTAAAGGGTAACTCCCAACCCCAATTTCAATTTGCCCAACACCTTCAAAAAAACAAAAACATGTATGCATTCAGGTGAGAAGTTGTGGGTGGGGGTAAATATTCATTTTGGGGGTGGGTAAATGTAGTTGTACCTGATCCCAACACTTTCTCACTAAAGCATATTTATCAGAAGTCCACTGGCACGCTCTGATAAAAAAATGATGTACATCGCAAATAAATATGTCTGGACGGTTAGCTCACAGTGGTAAGTCCCCAAATTTCTGGCATCTATTGCCAATTGTGGTCTAAATTTGTACTGTATAACATCTACAACTACTACCAGGGCGACCCCTCTCACATGTATGCTTTCACTTTTCAGAATTCGAAGTGTGAGGACAGGTGATGAATATTGTAAATAAAGGATTTGGAAAAAATAAGATATCTGCCCAATGGGGGATTAAAACTCAGAACCATTGAACTGTGAGCCAACTGTTTTAGCAGACTGCGCCACCAATAAATCATAGCAGTCGGAGAAAAAACCCAATTGATTTTAGAAAAATAAGATATCTGCCCCATGTGGGATTAAAACTCACAACCATTGAAATATGAGACAACTGTTTTAGCAGACTGCGCCACCAATCTATTATAGCAATTAGAAAAAAAGACAATGAGTTGATATGACCATCATTGTCATCTATTTCTTGTAACGATGAATGTAGCTATGAATATAAACATAAAAGCACATAGATGTGTATGAAACGGTAAGCAAAAACGTTGAATTTGGTCATATACGGAAATGTGCCTTTTGAATTTTGTGTAACGTCAGTAGTCTAGTCAAGGAAGCATCATGCAAAATATGTTGGCACACTCCACCTACCAAGACCATTGAAAAATAAGGTGCGCTGTCACCTGCTTTTATAGTAAACCCTGAGTTGGTACCACCCAGCACATCTAGAAGGGAGCGTATTTCATACCGAAGGTGCGAATTCAATGGTAGAGTTGAACCGCTAGGGGCAAAAAGAGCTACTAAAATTACTACTAAAATCCCCCAAAATATCGCTTTTGCAATGAACTGTCAAAATAAAGAGCAGAATTGACATGTTTAGCTATAACTAAGCCTAAAACATCTATTTTTTTATCATTTTTATGAGTTACTCTTTAAATATGTCACCGCCCCTTTCCCCCTCGACTCCTCCACTTTTGTGTATCATGTCACATGGTGATCGGACTGGAGGATCTGCCATATTCAGAGTTGCAGTGGCACCTTTCTGCTTTTCTCCCTTTTAGAGACATTTGGTGAACTGGTTGTTTTGAGAGTAGACTGACCCTGCACTTGTTAACTTCTGTCGGCTCTCTTCCAGTCTACAGATGGGCATCAAATTGACATATAGCTGCGTTGAAAAATACACTGTCAGCCCCTTCAGCATTCCCATGTAGTGCCAATAAGTTTTCCTCCATGCCAAGTGTTGAAATTATTGCAAAGTAACATGATTCATTCAGGATGTATCCGTTTTTTTTAATTATTTTTTACAAAAATCAGATTCCATTTTGATTCCTTCTATTCTAAAGGTTTTTATTTCAATCTTCCACTTGACATGAAAGGCTGTCCAGAGCGTCAGTGTGCTATGCACATACCAGTCAACACACTAGCTCTGGTCCAGGGCGTTATGTTAACCACGGTTGCTTGTGTAGCTAGCTAGTACACAAACAAGAAATAAGACAAAAAAACAGAAAACCTGAGCGTGGATAACTATTCACCGCCCGAAAGTCAATACTTTGTAGAGCCACCTTTTGCAGCAATTACAGCGGCAAGTCTCTTGGGGTATGTCTCTATAAGCTTGGCACATCTAGCCACTGGGGTTTCTGCCCATTCTTCAAGGCAAAACTGCTCCAGCTCCTTCAAGTTGGATGGGTTCCGCTGGTGTACAGCAATCTTTAAGTCATACCACAGATTCTCAATTGGATTGAGGTCTGGGCTTTGACTAGGTCATTCCAAGACATTTAAACGTTTGCCCTTAAACCACTCGAGTGTTGCTTTAGCAGTATGCTTGGGGTCATTGTCCTGCTGGAAGGTGAACCTCCGTCCCAGTCTCAAATCTCTGGAAGACTGAAACAGGTTTCCCTCAAGAATTTCCCTGTATTTAGCGCCATCCATCATTCCTTCAATTCTGACCAGTTTCCCAGTCCCTGCCTATGAAAAACATCCCCACAGCATGATGCTGCCACCACCATGCTTCACTGTGGGGATGGTGTTCTCGGGGTGATGAGAGGTGTTGGGTTTGCGCCAGACATAGCGTTTTCCTTGATGGCCAAAAAGCTCAATTTTAGTCTCATCTGACCAGAGTACCTTCATCCATATGTTTGGGGAGTCTCC